TGCTGAACCTAAGATTTTATAAATGTACTTGCAAGTACACAGAAGACTGAACTATCTGGTGAGTTCCTACATTTCAGACTACAGTTTCGCATCCCCCCTCCAGGATAAGTGATCATTCACACGCAAAGGCAGAGATGCACGCATATTGTACCTAGAGGAAAACCAGCTAGTTAAAAGTCATTGGAATGAAGATAATTAAGAGTGTTATTATGCATATATTGCAATAAAACAATATTTGCTTTGGTGACTCATGACAACATTAAGCATTTGACCTGAAACCAGTGAAATATTATGTAATGAGAAAACAATTGATCTTAGTTTTTATGTGTACCAACTCATTGGAGTTTCTACTTGTTAAAGTCCTTCACACCTTTTAAAAAGTTTGTGTTGCATCTTGGCAAATTAATAGTTTAAAATAATTATTCCTATCACAAACATAACATGGCCCTACTGGATAGTTCTGTGCAACTTTAGTCATAATAAGCAACACAGAAAACAATATATTAAGCATTGTAAGTTTCCTGGAATTTTTGAGCTATGTTTAACTTTTAAAATTAATTTATAATAACATAATTTTCTTATTTTATTCCCATGGCTCTGTTTGAAGAACTCTGTTAGATTTTATTCTGTTCAACCTCATTTTTAACAAGTTACCATGTATTAGAAATAGAATTTTGTGGCTATCAAGGGTCTTAGTGATCATGATGTGGAAACCAAAGCTGAGTTTATTTAGACTAGAAACAACATCTTTTTGCTCTATAGGTTGTGTGTATTTAAAATTCTTAACTGGCTTATGAAAGGTTTAAGAGAATCTGTGTCATAAAATTGCTATAGAAGGCTGGATGATATTCTAAAGGATTAAAGTAATACAACAAGTGACGGATTGAGAAAAGAAGCATCGCTCCATGTTCTAATGTATGCGTATGAAAGCTATTAAAATAAATCTCTGGTGACTTACTGTAACTGGCTGCTAATAATTGATCAGAACTAATGCTTACAAACTCACATTTCTTTTCCATGTTAAAAAAATTATTTAGTTAAGCATTGATTATAACCTTGAGTTTAGTTGCTTGAAACACCTATGTACAGTATAGGATTATTGAACCTGGTCAGCTAGTACTTGCTGAGTGGGTAGACAGAAGAAATTGTTCTAGAAACTGGTTAAATCTCATGGACTGCATTTCTGCAGTCGAAGGAAAAGGAAAAGTTGGGTCATTTTTCTCAGCCATTTAAGCAAAAGTGATTTGGATCAGGAGGAAAGAGGACACGAGAGAGAAGTGCAGAGTGCTGAGGGAAGGTGAAGCAATCCAAATGATTTATCTGGCCGTTCATGGTGCTTTTGCTTTGGAAACCTGGCTCTAATATGGCAAATGGGCAGCATGTTAAATATCCTTTTGGACTCGAGGTCCATTGCAGTTTCCATCAAACTCACCAGCCTTTGGGGAAGGCTTATTCATTCAGAGAGTTCAGCCAATCTATTCAGTGGGCGCCATTATCTAAGCACATTCATTCTAGATTCGTGAGTGTGAGATAGTCAGTCAATATCTGCTCCGGATCCTTTCAGTTACATAGCAGGCCTAGAAACCAGAACATCTTTAAGCCGGGCACACCTTAGCAATTTTCATGGCACTATCTACAGTCTGTTAGTTAACGCAGGCTCCATGAAGGCCATACCCATGGTCAACTCAGAGCAGCTGTTAAAGGAATGAAAGAATGAATATCACACCCACCCTTCCCCTGACTTCCTCCCATTCAGTGCCTGAGGTCAGTGACCTCTCTGGGTCACAACTTTGGGAACTGGGCTTGTTCACACATCTTTAGACTTTGGGCCATTGTCTCAGGGCCACGAGTCCATGATGTCAGTTCTTTGCTCAAAGACCTGAATGTATATCTAAGTATTTATGGATCATAATGTATCATTATGCTGCCCCTCTGAGTAACACCCACTGCAATGACAGCAATTCAAGGTGGCATTGAGAAGCCACTCACAGCTGGCTACTTTCTCCACCAGGTACACTGAATCGTCATTATTCTTCTGCATGACTGACTTTGCAACCTAAATTGAGAGCTTATTAAGACACCTTTTTTTTTTTAATGTTTTAGTCATCTGTGTAAACCTCTAACACAATGTTTGTTTCATCAGGGCATATATTTTTTTTTTTACATTATGGAACGATTCACAAATTTGTGTGTCATCCTTGCACAGGGGCCATGCTGACTTACTCTGTATCCCTTCAATTTTAGTATGTGTGCTGCCAAAGCGAGCACAGGACATAATCTTAAGCAAACACTTACCGAAGCGCATGATCATACCTGGGACTCGCATCTGCTTTTCAATAGCAGAGGCCCTGGTCCAGGGAAATGATAGGCTCTCATTTCCAGATAAGAAAACTGAGACTCAGAGGGGTTAAGTCAGTTACACGGGGTCATGTAAATGCAGGAGCTGGGATTGAAACCCAGACCTTTCCAACTCCAGAGGCCCTGTTTTTTCCTCTGCACAGTCAGCCACCCTGCCATGCATGCCTCCCACAAAGTGCTTTTAAGACCTGGTACATTTTAGCATTTAGGGAACAAAATAGTATTCTCATGTGTTTATCCTTTGAGAGCTTGTGTCTTAGACATGCTCTGTGATTGGACACTTAATTTATAGGCCAGTGCCTACCATAATGTAAGAACTAAGTTGCAGAACAAAATCCTCCCGGCCTGTGGGAGACTGTGGGAGCTATGTCAGGAACCTGCGCATTAACAGGGCTATCTGGATAAGAAGATGATATTTTGATGTGGAAGCTGCAGGCCATGGTCATCCCCAAACCTGGGATGACTATGGGAAGAACCCAGACTTGTGGGTTCTGTGCTAATATTATCAACTCCCCAGGGTTTCTTCATCATAACTCCGAGCAGAGATCAAGAGAATATTGTG